ATTCAAGTCATTGGGCTGTTAATCAGTATCATATACTTTATGAGACTTAATACATCATAACAACAGTACGAGTCACAGGTATAAGCATAATTGAAAAGTGACATGTTAATTATTATTATGTTATATTATATATATTATATATATATATATATATATATATATATATATCATATAATATATATATTTATATTAATTCATATATATATATATTTGTGGGTATATATGTATACAAATGTATATATATACATATATATGTGAGTGTGTTCATGTATGTAGTATGTACATATATATGTATATGTTTTTTTATATCATATTCATTGGTATATCATAGCATCATGAGTTGTAATTCTATACTACTATTATCGACCATCTGGTAATATGACTATTTTTTATTGCTAACTCCATGGCAATCATCATCATTATCATCACTATGACATCATTACCGCTAAAATAACCAGCTATGTTATTGCATCACAGAACTGTCATTGCAACAACTGTTCTCGTGGTTGTGATGGGGGCAACTTACGGCTTCTCTGTCCCAGGGAGGCATGGCTCTGCCCTCCGAGCTGCTAGGGAGGCAAAGGAACAGCCCCTTGCTCGAATTAAGAGGTAAGGAAAGAGGGAGGATGGAAGTCAGAGAAGGGTGATGAGGGAGGGAAGAAGGGATGGGGGAAGAAAGGGATAAAAGTTTGATGGATAGCTACATAGAGGGAGGCACATGGAAAGAGAGAGATAGTAAGAGAAAGAGAGAGAATAAGTATATGGCATTAAAGCTCTTGAAAGTTTCCAATATATATGTCTTTTTTCTTTCTTTTTCGTCTAATAGGGATATGCATGAACATAATGAAACCCATTGGCACGAAGAGGAGCATCATGATCAGGACTATGATGACAGCCATGAGCACGATGATGACGAAGGGCACCATGATGACAGCGATGATCACGAAGGGAGCACCACGGTCTTGGCACAACGGAACCCATATCTTTAACGCTACGAGCATCACGGAGAGGGGCACGATGGTGATCAGGACTATGATGACAGCCCATGATGATGACACCATGAGACGAAGGGGAGCACCACGGTCTTGGCCACAACGGAACCCATATCCATAACGCTACGGAACATCACGACAGTGATGAGCATCACGGAGAGGGGCACGATGGTGATCAGGACTATGATGACAGCCATGAGGACGAAGGGGAGCACCACGGTCTTGGCCACAACGGAACCCATATCCATAACGCTACGGAACATCACGACAGTGATGAGCATCACGGAGAGGGGCACGATGTGATCAGGACTATGATGACAGCCATGAGCACGATGATGACGACGAGGGGCACCATGGTGATCAGGACTATGATGACAGCCATGAGGACGAAGGGGAGCACCACGGTCTTGGCCACAACGGAACCCATATCCATGATGCTACGGAAGATCATGGCAGTCATGAGCATCACCATGGTCATTCTACTGTCCCTGTCGCCATTGCCCCATGACTGTTTTGGCGACAATAAGGACGATGGGGAAGGTGACAACGACAGCGAGAAAGATTACTGATCTTATATTACACTGATATATTGTATGCTGTATACATTTGCAAATGCTAACAGACAAATGTAATTATATGGATGATAATGGTGAAAATAATGATAGAATCAAATTGTCATATTATAAAGAATAAGAAAAAAGGTATTGGCAAGATAATCTTATGAAATAAATGTATAACGATGAGAAAATGATAAGTAAAATGAATTCAGGATTAACTAATACCAAAATATGTCTACTTCTCATTTTATTTATTTCACTGTATAAGTAACGTATAAACGGATATTCAAAATCAGTGCTGTATTGTAAAAGAGAGATGAATAAAGTTGATGAATGCACATCCAGTTTTCGTTAAGTTTAGTCCTCAATTTTTCTATTCTGGCTAGCCCAGTGACATGCTTATATCCTCTAATGTTTCAGTTAAGAGGAAGCAAACAAATAGTCCTTCATTTATTCCTCGACTAACTCAAACAATAGACTGATGTCTTATATCTGTGAATTCCTCCGTAGGGAAGGCTTAGTGAGACATCCTAGCTTGGTGTACTCCAAGCTACATGCCCACATTGAGCTCATTTGCTGGCCTTGGCGGATAGCGACTGGGGAATGTGAATGTGGAATGGGAGTGAGAATGGGAATTGGAATGAATTAATACACGGACAGCAGGCTCACGCTCAGAGACTCCAATATGCCAATTCAGTTTGCATATTGCTTGCCCATTGGTGAACCCTACTGCAATCCTGATGCTGCAAATACTAGTTCAGACACAAGCAGACCCTTCTCAGTTCCCTATCTCTAAGGATTCTCCTGTATTGCATTAATACACACTGTTCAGTAGTTCACAACCGTCATAACGAGTACGCTGTTCTTAAGTATAGTAGAGAGGAGAGTTACACATACACTCTTTTAAGGGGAGATGGAGTTAACATAAAACACACATCTTCAATTCGTTGTAAATTCAACGATAATGTCGAGTATTATTTAAGGGATATACAATAGGAATATATTTATATGTCATTTATAGTCATACAATTATTCCATATGTCTAGTAAAACCATGCTCTTAAGTGTTATCAAGAGAAGAAGGTTCATATAATCAACAATTCATAAAACATGTACAACCATACAGACAAAGGCATAGACATGCATACATACATACATACATACATACATACATACATTCATATATATATTTATATATATGTGAGTGTGTGTGTGTGTGTGTGTGTGTGTGTGTGTGTGTGTGTGTGGTATGTGAGTGCTGTGTGTGTGTATAGCCATCCATATATATATATATAATATTAATATATATATATATATTATATATATATATATATATATAATATATACATACACACCCATATGGACACACAAACACACACATACACACACACACACACACAACAAAACCACACACACACACACACACACACACCACACACACACACACACACACCACACACACACATATATGTGTGTGTGTGTGTGTGTGTGTGTGTGTGTGTGTGTGTGTGTGTGCTGTGTGTGTGTGTGTGTGTGTGTGTGTACATACGTAAACATAGATATGTCGGCATATATTTAGAGAATATATATATATGTATATAATACGCACACACACATATATACATATGGATATACATTATATATGTGTGTGTGTGTGGATTTATATACATACATATATATACAAAAGATATACATATATACATATATATATATAATATATATATATATATATATAATATATATATTTGAAGGCTGCATAAATAGGATACACAGTATAGTACATACTATAATTTATTTTATAATATGGGGCCTATAACATATGCATGTATATTGTCTATTAAAATACATGTTGTGGCGCACATATATATGTATATATTTGGTATATATACGCCAGCCCCCATAAATAATAGTACATAGTATATTAACAATATATAAATTATATATATATATTATATTTGATATATATGGATATATTTAAGTATGATAAAAAAAACGTTTATATATCTATAATTATTATAACATTTAGTATTTTTTTTAACATTTATTTTATTATGGAAGTGGTTTAATTTTTT